TCAGAAATACCAGAGACTTAGACTTGCAGTTGGCATTCGAAGGGCAATCTTGTGGGATCTGATGCTAACGCCGGGTGTATAGTGTCAGAATTGAATTAAATTGTAGTACCTGCAGTCATCGTTTTCAGAGAATTGGAAGTTTGCTAGGTGAGGGAAAAACATACATGCAAACACACACCCATATATACATATATATGTGTATATGTAATTATATGTGTATATGTGTGTGTTTATATGCATATGTGTGTGCATATATGTGTAAGTTCTTCGTATTAGTTTGCTAGGACTACTATACACAGTTCTACAGATTGAATAGCTTAAACAACAGAAATTTACTTTCTCACAGTTCTAAAGCTGGCAGTCTGAGATCAAGGTGTCCACAGCGTTAGTTTCTTCTGAGGCCTCTATGCTTGGATATCTCTCTTCTCCCTGGGTCTTCACTGGGTCTTCCCTCTTTAATTCTGTGTTCATATTGCCTCTTCTTATAAGGACACCAGACATATTGGATTACGGCCCATCCTAATGATCTTGTTTTAAACTCAGTTACCTCTTTAAAGATATTATCTCCAAATACAGTCACATTCTGAGGTACTGCACATTAGGACTTCAACACATGAATTTTGAAGGGTACAATTCAGCCGATGACAGACTTACTTATTTTTTATAGTCTATCTTCTCTGGCTAGAATTTAAGCCTCATGAAGGTGGAGTTTTTTGTTGTTGTTTCTCTATTTCAGTATATACCCAATATCTAGAACAATGCCGAGCAACATAATAGATCCTGAATGAATAATAATGAATGTTGTGGCCTTTTGATGAGTTATTTTAATCTGAACACGTCTATCCTTTTCATCTCTGGAAAATTCTCTTCTTATTATTTCACTAATTCAAGTCCTCCTCCCCCCCAGTTCTCTGTAATATTTTCCCAGTACTCCTATCAGTTGAAATTTGGACCTCTACTTGATTGATCTTCCCTGTCTCATTTTCAATCTGTTATTCTGCTTTTTTTTGGAAGATTTTTCAACCTTAACTTCCAAACACTTCTACAAAACATTCTTTATTGTGGTAAACATATATTTCATTCCTAAGAGCCCTCTTCTTGATCCTGTTTGATGGCATTCTGTTATTGTTTTGTGGGTGCTGTATTTTTGCTGATCTTTCTGCAGGTACTAGGTCTTGTTATGTCTCTCTTGTTCCCTGAATTTTCTGTTCCTTTGTAGGACGTTTTTTGTTTGTTTCTTTTCTTATCTCACATATTACTTAAGCATTTCTTATTCTTAATTATCCTTCATTGCCCATTTTTATTTAATAATGGGACAATACTAGGAGGTTTACGTTAGGGATGAGACTTTTTTGCCTGGTGATGTCACTTTATGATTTGCTGAATACACAGATCTTTGTTTTGGGGTAGTGAACACTCACAGCGGCTGCCTTAGGTCTCCCTAAACAGTTTATTCAACTTCCTTAGATAAAAACCTTCCAACTTTTTACGCGGCTGCCCAGCTTGCCATCTGTGGGAGTCTGGAATCCATGATTTCATATATTCTTCAAATTAATATCTTTTTTTGTTTTGTTTTGTGTTTTGTTTTTTGGGCGGGAGGTAATTAGGTTTATTTATTTATTATTTTATTTCTTTTTTTAATGGAGGTTCTTGGGGTTGAACCCAGGATCTCATGCATGCTAATAAGCATGCAGTCTACCACTGAGCTATACCCTCCTCTCCAAATTAATATCTTTGTTTTTACTTTTTACTCCCATCACATTTCATCTGGTTTTTCCAAGTTCCAAATCCCTCTGTAGTTTGGGAGGTCAAATTCATGCCGTCTGTGACTGTAGTCCTCTTTATTTGCTACCATTTCTCTGTCTGCATATCATCTTTCAAAAATGTATTGAAATTCACTGTTAATAATTCTCTCTATCCTTTTTACTTCATTGTTTTGAGTTAGTATTTTTTTCACATTATATTTAAGTGTGTCTGAAGAAGGAGAGAAAAACCTTGTTATAAGATTGATTGCCTTGAGTTAGAATTCTTTGATCCTTTAATAATTGAACATCGAAAGCAGAATTTGAACTTACTCTGATGTTGTGGATCTTTATTATAAGCCTCAGTTATTGGTATGTGCTCTTGTTTCTTAAATATAAGTATGAGACAGGGCTGAGTGCACTCTTAAATCCAGTAGAGTTCTGGAACATGATTTCTTTAAAAAAAAGGAGGAGGAGGAAGAGGAGAAGAACTTGTTCTTGATTAGTAATTGCTCTGGGGTTATCACCACAGCAGCAGGACTAAAACTTTTCTAGTTTTCTCTCTCAGTCGATGACCTTGCTTCCCACTCCAGTCTTATTATCAAGGCTATGTATCATGAACTTTTGTTTACCTTAAAACATCATGGTTCCCTGTTCATGCTCCCATCTTGTTTTAGATGAGGAGCTGGAATCCCATCTTTTCTGAAGCTATCTCCTCCATTTGCAGTCTGAAGCCCTGGGACTGTTCTTCTTCTGGATCTGCATTTACAAATATGCTCAAGTCTTCCCCCTGAGGTGGAGAAAAACCCTTCCTTCCCATCCTTTCCCTGAAGCCACACTTTCATCTGGAGAAGGCTTCTTAATTTTCTTTCTAGGTTCTGCCTCTCTTTACATATGGCCATTCTCTGAGTATCTGTCTTCAGTCTGCTTTTTTTTGTTTGTTTGTTCTTGCTCTATTCCTGGGAAATCCTATTTATTCCCATGACTTCAGCTTTCACTGAGCCCTAACCCCTTTCCTGAAGTTCAAGTTCTCCTTCCCACCTACCCATTAGTACCTACACTCATTATATTCAAACGCAAACCCAGTACTCCATGCTCTGCCTCCATCCTCCTATGTGTAGGAAAACAAAACAAAGAATCACGTAAACATATTCTGTTTTTCCCATGTTGACTGGTCTGATTATCACTTCCCCAGTCATCCAGGGGTCCATTAGAAGTAATTGCAAGGCTAGGAAACATCCGAAGTTATTACAGTCTGAGTTAGAGAAAGGTTAATTTCAAGTATGTAAGCTTTCTTGCCCTCAGTCCCCACAGTTCCTTTTTAATGTACTAACCAGTCTTCTGCATTTTCTTGATTACATGCAGGTCTGCAATTAAGGCCTTACGTCCTGGAGGGCTTCTTGTGTACTCCACATGCACACTTTCCAAGGCAGAGAATCAAGATGTGATCAGTGAAATTTTAAACTCCTACAGTAACATCATGCCTGTGGACATTAAGGAAATGGCAAGGACTTGCTCCCGAGACTTCACATTTGCTCCTACAGGCCAGGAATGTGGGCTCTTGGTGATTCCAGATAAAGGTAAAGCCTGGGGCCCAATGTATGTAGCCAAATTGAAAAAATCATGGACTACTTGAAACTGGTGATGTACATTTCGTAAGCCTTTCCATTGGTTATACATCAATGTTTTATTATATTTATTTTTCTAGGCTTTCTACATGTTAACGTTTGAATAATAATGGAGTCACTTTTCTTGGGTCTATTTGGAATCCTATTTAGTTAATACTTCAGCATCTCAGGATCTGTGGTTGAGAAGTTTTCAAGTGTGTTTTTTTCCTAGAAATATATCTATAGTAATGATTTAAGGTGGTGCAGATGGTGTTTGTTCTGTATAATAAATCTACTGTCTTTTACTTGGCATTTTGTAGTTAAATTAATCAAAGTACATGGTTTTATGCATAAAATGTTTAGAAATGCATTCTATCCATAATGTTGGTGCTTTGAATCTTTAAAACTGCATATTTGCTGGCCCCCTTATCATTTTCTCCTGATCAAATACACAGATTCTTCCAGAGATTTCCCCCACCTTTTCTGTAAGAACTGATTGATATTCTAAGACTAACTTCTTAAACAGCACTATTTCTAGTTCTAGCAAAATAGGTTTCTTATTTGCCAAGTTGTTTTTCGTTAAGAACTGTCTTCTGTTTTCTGCAAAGGTCAGTGACTCTATTGACACCAGCTTTATGTCTCCACTTTTTTTTGTATTCACAAATACAAATTGAAAGGGTAAATTATGTTGAAAGGCCGCTAGAACAGCAGATTCACATGCACATGTTTGACTTTCGACATTCAGCTTGTAGAATAATGGAGTCTATCCAGCAGGCTATAAAGCAAGTACTTGAAACAAAACCAGAATGATTAATAACCGCAATAACTGAACTATATTTGGAGAGTTTGCTACATAATTGCAGTCATAATGAGCACTACAGAATCTGATTATCTTACAGTTGCAATCTGGAGGGGCTTTTTATTTCACTCCGTTATGAAATGTTATCCGAGAGTATGATGTCACATATTAATGCACAAGAGGGAGATGCCTAATGAGAGTGGATTATACTATTACCAAAACCCAGTACTGTTTACTAAGTGGCTCTCCTTATTTACACATATCCTGGGAATATTGTATATATTTCTGTGTGTGTACTTAGGGTTTTAGCCTCAGGTTAGGATCATGTGTTTTCTCTAGAAATTGCTTCACTCAAATTCCAAACATATTTTTCCACCTATTAAGAAAAAATATGCAGCATATTTCAAAAGATTCTATCTGTTTAGAAATTAGCTTTTAAAAATAATGAACTCTGAATATAGAAATATAAAATTCTGCTGAAGCTGAATCCTTTTGTTTATTACATTCTGTGTATTCAAACTAGAGACTATTTGCTCACTTACTGTTTTTGTTTTGCAAGCATGTGTAACTGGGAAGACAGAGGAATAATGTTTTTTTCTGTACTTTTATTCCATTAGCCATTTTGTTTCCTTTGTATCTAACTAATGTATTTAAAGAAAAGCTGGATCTGTCGAACTCAATCAACTATACCGGGCTAATACAGAAGATTAATAATAATGGAAAAATTTGTGTGTGTGTGTGTGTCTTTAATTTGTGCTTATTAGTTTGTTTTCTCAGTTTGAAATCCTGCTTTCAGATACTATAGGTTTAAAAACACATTTATTCTCTAGATTAATCAGAAAGTAAATGTTCACAGTGCACTTTGTTGAATGTCATTATTTTCCCAACATAATGCCTTGAAGCCTAATCTGAATACTCCATGTGCCATTGTATTAGACCTTTCTATAATTACTGAAAAAGGCATATATAGTTTACATGTAGCTTGCTTTGTTATTAATAATAATTATAATGAAACAGCTGACATTCATTGAGCATTAAATGTTTGATTAAGTGCTTTATATTTATGTTATCTTTTTTGAACTTTAAAACAATTCCAGGAGTGAGTATTGTAACTACCTTTTGTGAATGAGAAAACCCAAGTTTAGCACTGTTCCATGCTTGCCAAGGCTACACTGGTAAGTAAAGTGTGAAACAGAGATTAAAACTAGCTTCAAAGGCCCGACCCTTCTCCCTCCTCCATGCTGTCTCACAGGATATAGGTTATAGGAACACTCAACTGACTTTGTCAACTGACTTTACCCTTATTCTCCATTGCTCAGCTTTCCCTTTGTATGCAGTTTCCTATTTTCAGAGCATCAAAGGGTTAATTACTATTTGGGGGAAAAATTCTTAGGACTAGTTCAGGCTGTGTTCTATAGAAGTACTTCTTGTGATTGCAATACTTAGAAATCTCCCGTAGAGTTTTCTGTGCCTCCCTTTTCTTTGCAGATGCTGAAGAATAGAAATTTGGAGCAGCCTTGCAATGTCAATTGAAAAGCAGGGAGTAATTGATATTACTCTCTGTGGCATCAAGTCACTTTCAAAATAGCTTTATAAAAATTTAGGTTGCTTACCAACACATTAACTGCTGCCATCAGCATCCTGAACAGCCACTAGTTTCAGAAACAGACTATGAATAAATGTAATGCATTTAGATGGTTTGTACTGAATTTTTAAAGCATCAGATATTATCTATGGCTTGGAATCAGGGCTGCCTGCAGTTCTTCATCCTATTACATATATCTATATAGCCTTATACTGAAGATTGCATGTTACCTCCTTAACAGTATTATAAAAAATACCCTTTTGTACAATGTGAGTAGACATAAAATAACAGATACTGGGACATTTGCTACATGACTAAATAAAGTGATCACAAATCTAATAGGCCCTTATCCAAGAAGACTTTATATCTGGAGATAAGTGTCAGATGATCTGCATAGGCTAATGCAACTCATCTGGAATACAAAGAGAAAATTGGAACCAATAGCAACAATTTTATTAGATGCCAAGAAGTCCTTTGATGCAATTGAATAGGACTACTTGTATTATATGTTAGGTAAATTTGGCACTGGGGACAAATATAATGGCACAATTTATTTTCAGCCCATTTATATGGTTCAAATCAATGGTTTACAATCTTCTTTTCCTTGCCTTATTGCTGCACTGGGGAGGGGAGTAAGGATGATACCCATTACTGATGTTACTCTTCGGGCTAACGTTGGAGCTATAATATCACCCAGATCCCATGGGTATCTGAAGGATATTCAGATGAAGGTTCACGAATTAACTAATGTCTGCTGGTAATCTACTACTTGTGCTGAAAGGCCTAACAGCATCTGTCCTGAAAACATTAAAAGTAATGTCAGAATTTGGAATGGCTTCAGGCTGCAAAGTCAATGGGAGAGAATCAGAAATACTATCTTGACAGAGCTGTTTCTATTAATATTACTTATCATATGACATTTAAAATAAAATGAAAATTTAAAAGAATTGATTTGGGGTTCTCATTAGGGAATGATTAAACTATAGAGTGAAAAAAACAAACTTAAAAAATTGACCTGTTAATTCAATGCTTAAGATACCTAAAAAATAGTTTTCACTAAACCCAAGGAGGAAAAAAGCCTTGTAGAGCATATGCTTCTTTAAAATTTAATTAGCTCAATCAAATATTAACTCCATACTTTTTGGTAACTTTTCACAAATGAAAAAAGTAATTTCCTTAGTCATGTGAGACTATATAGTCATGTTGAAACTGGGTGAAACCATATGCTACCTTAGAAAAAGGACCGTTTGCCTCATTGGAAGCTATCTGATATATGTCATGACTCAATTAAGCTTGCTATGGCTTGTCAAAAGGAATTTTCTGCTGCGTATTGTTATGGAAGAGCCCGTCACACACAAATAACTATACAGCCTAGCAGAATCAACAAACGAAAAATGTGTATAGCCTATTGAAAAAGAAGAAACAGGACTATTCTTCCCAGTTCTTAAAAACAAGTGGAAGTAAATTGTAGATATTAACACGAATGGGCAGAGTTAAGAGGGATTAGCATTGGCAACAGGAGAAAAGAGGAACTGGGCTTATTTTAGTTTATCATTATTAAGTAAGAAAGATTGTTCACATACTCTTCAAAACAAGGTGTTAACAACCTTTGCAAAGTAGTAAGCCATTCCCCCATTCTGGCATTACAGTCGTCTCTGGGGTAAAAGACAGAGAAATGAGAGGACTAGAGAACTTGTGCTGACTTGTGAATTGATGTTAGAACAGGTTTACTGTGGGCTTGTAGCTCATAGCTGTCAACTATTAAGAAAAGGGAAGCGTGATAGCATCTAACTCTGATGCCACTGGAAATTTTTCTGTGTGATATTTTTAGCCATGAAAAGTCAATATAACTAGCTACATAGATAGCCATTCCTTGACTTGATCATAAAAAAACTAAGGTATAAGTCTTAGACTATAACAAATATGTTAAGCGAACACAGCAGACATATGCAAACTATTTATGTTTTACATAATGGTTGCTTTTGTCATATATCCTTGTACAGATTATCTTCATTAAATCTTGCGTATGAAACGATAGCTATTCCCATACATGCATTATTTTCAGCTACGTAGTTAACTTGACCATACAGAGTTAACAGGTTCCTTTTCCACCCCACAGGACTCAACTGGCTGAAGCAACCTGATATAGTTTCAACAGAGGTGATTTTTGAACCAGGAGAATGGTTTAGGAGAAGTTTAAAGTGGGATCTGGACCATCACTCTGGAGTTGGGTGTAGATTGAGTCAGTCAAGCATATTTCAGAAGCAAAGGATGCTACGATGGGCCTAAAGAGTTTGGGATACACTCCTAGGAAGCACATTACAACTCCCAACAAAGTTTATGCTTTCATCTATCTGGTCACACCCCCTACCTTCAATGAGGACTTTAGTACCTAGCTCATATCCTCTCTATTGGAATACCTACCACAGGCTGAATTCAACACCTCTATGAGAAACCCATCCAATATCCCACCTTTATGGTTCCTTTACTGCTTCTTCCCCAATGGCTTTTGTCTCTATTTGTCTTTAGTAAATCACTCTCCAGGAAATTCCCTAGAATTTGGCATTCTCTAGAGCCATACTCTCCAGTGGACCTTTCTACATGATAGAAATGTTTTATGTGCCCTGTCCAACATGGACAATGTGGTAGCCATGCATGGTTATTGAGCACTTGAAATGTGGCTACTGTGATTGAGGAACATAACCTTTAATTTTAATGACTTTAATTGTAAATAGCCACCTGTGGTTAGTGGCTACCATATTGGACAATATGGATCTAGAATTTCTTCACCTAGGAAAATGTAATCTCAGTACCTCCTATTCTTCCAGCTTTCTTACTCTCTCATTTTCATTAAAACTGCAATCCAATTTCCTTGACACCATAGTTTTTATTTTAAATTTTTTAAATTGAAGTATAGCCAGTTTACAATATTGTGTCAATTTCTGGTGTACAGCATAATGTTTCAGTCATACATATATATACATATATTCATTTTTATATTCTTTTTCATTATAGATTACTACAAGATATTGAATATAGTTCCCTGTGCCATGCATTAGAAACTTCTTTATCTATTTTATGTATAGTAGTTAGTATCTGCAAATCTCGAACTCCCAATTTATCCCTTCCCACCCCATTTCACCCCCAGTAACTATAAGTTTATTTTCTATGTCTGTGACGCTGTAGTTTTTAAACCTTCATCCTCTTACTGTCCTTTCTCTTCTGGTATCCTTTCCTTACCTCTCTTGGATCCTACGGTGGATAACTTGAAACTTTTTCTCACAGTGCCCTCATCTCCTTCATGCTGATATTTAAACCTGCAACTCTTGATAAGTCCAGTAGTCCATGCTTCTACTAATATATACAGCAATGGCTGAGCATTGTTTGGAAAAAAAGAAAAATCATATAGTAGTGCAGACTGATGTTATTACAAATTCATGCACCTGTGCAGATTGATTTCACTACAAATTCATGCTCACTTGCTTCTCCTAAGACTTACGTTGCTTAGTAATTTTGGCTGTTCTTTGGCCAGCTTTCTTTTCCATTCTCATTAGTGACTTTTCCAAACTTCAGCTATTCTCTACAACTCTTCCGTATAAACACTCTGCTCTTGTCTCTCAGAAGATGATCCTGCCTCTTAGTTCCTTGAGAAAATTGTGATCATCAGAGTGAGTATTCTTTTTTATTTTTTAATTTTTTAAACTTTTTTTATTGAATTATAATCATTTTACAATATTGTGTCAAATTCCGGTGTAGAGCACAATTTTTCAGTTATACGTGAACATATATATATTCATTGCCACATTTTTTTCTCTGTGAGCCACCATAAGATCTTGTATGTATTTCCCTGTGCTATGCAGTATAATCTTGTTTGTCTATTCTACATTTTGAAATCCCAGAGAGTGAGTATTCTTACTCTTTCCTAATACATACTCCTCCTTTTATTTAGAAGTGCCACGTTCATCTGGCCTCACAAATTAGAAACCTGGGAGTCACGTTCAATTTTTCTCTTTCCTTTTCTTCATTCTCACCTCTAGATAATAGCCAAGTCTCACTTTTTTTTTTTCTTCCTGTTCTCTCTTAGTATCATTGGCATTGCCTTAGTTAAGGTCACCTGGGCTATTGAATTTTCTTCCCAGT